CCATCCTTCTAGCATTAGCTAGAGTGTGCTAGATACAGTGCAAACACACAGAAAGGAATAGCACCTGAATCACAGTATTCACAATCTAGGATAAACCAGTAGTAAGCCACTAGGTAGAACATAACAGTTAAGGGATCAATATGGTTATAATAGGGTCCCTATAGCCTATTTCTAGATGTCCTTCAGTTCTGCCACTGTCATGTGGCTAATCTCTACCTTACAACACCAGAACACAGGAAAGAAGTGAATGGCCTTGCAGGTCAGCTTAGGACCTATGCTATGAATAGATATGCTGCTTTTAACATGCAGACAATTGCAAGGAAAAAAAAAATTGGGGGGGGGTAAGTCTAACTATTTACCTGTAGTAACTGACCTTCTGACCTTCTCTATCCTTTATTTAATTACTTGTTTTCTCTAATAGAAATAGCCATAAATGTTGACTAAGGGTACTTTACAAGTTACGCAACTCTATCATTCAACAGAAACATTGCTCTGTACTAATAGTACTCTCAACTAAAGCAATTTTGTGGAATACAGTACTCTGAAAAGAGCAGGAGACCACTATTTTCAAAATTATCTAATTTCACAAAGTTGGATAAAAAAGCAAATGGTAGATGTTAAAAGCAGTAGCTCTCCAGTCTTCTAAATTTATAATGAATTATCATAATAAAGCTTTCACTGTCTTAAATTATTTAAAAAAACAGATTATTCTTAAAGTATTTATTAGGATAATTATAGGGTGTGCACATATATGTGTATGCATCTCAGGGTAGAGGTCTAGAAAATTTTAAGTACTATGAACAAGGTTGACAGGGGTGTAGGATGAATAAAGTCAAATCAGTCATACCTTTACTTTGTAGAATCTCAACTTTCCATTAAAAAAAGACTTTAGTTTTCACAGTTCTGAACCTTCCAGCTGTGAATGAAGTATCATAAATACAGAAATGTCTTCAGAGAAAATAGCTCTAGAAATACTTTAACCCCCTTTGCCAGCCACCTGACTGAAGCATTATCAATAAAACCTAATGCTGATAATGTTCCATAGTTGAGCATTGAAGCATGGTATGAGGTTGGAGTGAAGAACACCCTGGAGACGGGAATTGGGCAGCATCAGCATTACTGTCAGGTAAGGTACTCCTTAATGAAAACACAAAGAACTAGCCCATAGAAGAGAAAGAGAAGATAAGAGGAAGAGTGAAAAAAGAATGTAAACAATAGTAGTGCTGAAAAAACATTTTCTCAATAAAGGACACAACAAAGTCCTGAATAAATCAAAGATGATGATAAGCAAAGGTCAGTTATTACAAAAATGCTGTACCCTGTATGCTAGGCCTTGGGCAAGTTTTGCTATGGGACTGCCAAATACAGAATGTGGTATTCTTTGTTTATATCCCAGCTGACAGACCACATGCAAAAGAGAACTCAAACCTCTGAATACATGGATATATGCACTGACCATATTCTGGAAAAACAAGAAGGGAAATGCTGCCATAGTACAGGAGTGTTGAAAAATACCATCCACTGTAACATGGTTTTATAATATATGCTACACTAAACTATTTGAGCTCCTTCCACATAAAAACATGCATCAGCTGAGGTCCTGCCCGTAGAGTTTACATTCTTTCTAATGGCTAGGACTGGGTTGCTGAGTTCATACCTCAAACTATTGCAGAGACAACATCATATATCAGCTTTGCATACTTTATCCCAAGCTTTGGACCAGAACCCAGCTCTCTTGACTTCCATGCCACAGCAGAAGATCGCAAAACAATACCTGAATTACAGTATTTGAATATACATAATTTTAATACAGAATGTTGACTGGGGGGGCACACTCATTTTTTGATGGGCTTAAAGCAAACTGGTTTCATCAAAGTTAGCTTTTCGATTAAGTAGAAACATGGGAAATACCACTCCCAAGAATATTCCTTTAAAATAAGGAAGTTAGATGGGACTACTAAAAGCAAATTCAGATATGTAGGGCTAAAACCACATTGGTGTATAAGGTATGCTGTTATTAGCCATTATTTGGCATGATTTCTGAATTCCAAGCTAAATTTAAATATGATCCCTTACTCGTTGTGATAACAATAGTATCATGTAGTAAATGATACTAATGAAAAATCTGCTCCATGTAAAAAACAAGTAATACTGATGCATACTTACTCTAAAAAGCATATTAGGCAACTTTTCTGCAGTGTCTTCACCTTATTACTGAAGGAAAACACTGCAATATTAAAGACAAACTCATACACTCCCATTTTTGTGGAAAAGGAACAAAGCAAGTAATCTCATTACATAAAGTCAGCCTCTGAGTGCTTTAACAATGAATACTGAGTCAATCTTTCCATTAAGTCAGGGTGTATACAGCAAATATGCTCTACTTGAAATGCAAAATTTAATTCCAGCATGATCACTTCAGGGACCAGTTCTGCAAAGTACAGCAGCCGTGGCATGACATACAATTGCAGCGTAAGTAACTATACACTACTGTTAAACACATTTTAAACTCTATTGTACAATAGCCTTTGTCACAGTAAAGCTATTTTAACCATGAACCATGTTTGTTTGAACAAGTTTTTCTACCTGTTTTTCCACTGAACCTTAGCAAATCATTCAGTGACTAATTTACTTGGTACATTTTCATTTGTTGTCATTCATAAATAATTTATAGCTTTAGCAGATGTATTGCTTTTGATTTACATATGGTTTGGATTTTTGTTTCTTTATAGAGTTCTTCGCAAATTGTTCACCGGCCATGCTCAAAAAACCCCTTCAATTATTCAACTGTGAACTTCTAATTTGATTGGGTATCACTAGGTGTAGTTGTGGTTGTTTGATAAGAGTCACTAGCCTATGACTTGTAACTATAAATCATTTAACTATCAGTTCCTCTGAGTTCAAGCAAAGCCACAAACTATAGTTTCTATCTGGTCAAGGGATCTGGGAAGAGAGAAGATTGTGAGAAGAATCTCTGAATATCTTTCTTTGATGAATGGCTTTGGAGAGCAGGGAGGAAGGCAGAAAGCATGATACAAAAGAGGGAAGAACAGATGAGAAATAAAAAAGGAAAGAAATCTCCAGGAAACCAGAGGAGTAGCAGGAGAACCTTCTGTCATAATTCACTTAATGTAAAACTGATCTTTACCGATGTTCTGCCACATGATTTACATCAGGGTGCTGATACATTTATTTACACTTCACGGAGTGCAGTCTGCCTTAGTCCTAAAGGTCCCTCTGTGATCACAGAGTTTATCCTTTACCCCAGTACAATCTTTTTATCACTTCCTTCATCTGAAATAATACGCTCAATTGTAGTTACAGATTTTAAAGTAATACGTTAGAACATTCAAAGAGTATGTTCAGACACATATTCAAATGAAAGTCTGAATGCATGAAACATCCATTGTAGACATAAATTGTATACACACCTTCCTGGGCCAATTTTTTGTGTCAACTTCAAAGCATATAAAAGGCTAATGCATCTTCACTATTTTAAGAACTGTATAAACATATTAAACATTTATTATTTGCATATTTGAACACAGTGCAATCTTGACCCTACTAGCCATTTTCCTATGGTTTTCCCACTGCCCTATTTATCTTTCCTGACAACTTTGCTGGAAGACCTTTTAGTCACAGATTTTCTGTAATTCTACACACATAGTTATTGCAATTACTCATGTGTGCCATACATAGTTTTGGTTGTAATATGTGAATATGTAGGTATTTACACATATGCACACATAGACTCATATACGCCATTAGTAACTCTTAATTTTGTTCAATATGCTGATTTAATTGTTCATTAAATTTGCCAATTTTTTCCATTAAATTGACTCAAATACTCAAATGTAGTATCTTACTGAAACAAAAAAAAAGCCCAGAAGTTTGAAGGAAGTTGATTGCTTTTAAAGTGTTCTATTTAAAACATACATATATCCTAATGTCTAAACTTACTCCCTACAGGTCAGGAACTCATTCCATTTAAATGAATGGCATATTTAGTTCAAGAGCCAAAAGTTCAAACCTTAGTTCTTTGAAATAGTAAACATTTTATCAGGCACTTCAAAAATAAAGGATGCTTCTGTAAATATCATTATATATGATTGGTATTCTATCTGCAAGACAGATTCACCTTGTGGGGGTTTTTTTGTCCATAAAGCTTTCTGGACAATCAGGTCAGACTGTCAGACTGTCAAACTGTCAGCTCAGCTGAATGACAAGGGAGAAGGAAGAGACTAAAAAATGAAAACCAGAAATGTTCTGTGAACACAACTGGTTTCAAGCACTTTGAGTGGATTCAGAAATCCTACAGTCAGCTACACCATCCAAACGTTCACTTACGTTTAAGCAGCAAAACTAAGACAGGTGCTGTGAAGAGGAATTTTGTATGAAAAATACCAACAAGGAACACAGCACAGGAACAGGCTGTCATTATCAGCTCTCTCTGCCATTCCTTCTCCCTGCTTCTCAAGCACATGGGCGGCATTAGCACTATAGGAACTTACTTGATAAGCAGTATACCTATTTCCTTTCTTTTCTGAACATTTTGTATACTACACAGCACAAAAAACCTGGAAAGATCAGTATTCTGCCATAATCTCATTTCTAAGAAGATAATTTTAGAATTTTTACTCTCAATACCGGATGTTAAAAACATTTGTACTTAATTCAACAAACAATACACCCTATTAATGTACAGAAGAAACCCAGAAAATGGCACCTTAGTAGGTTTTTTTGTGGTTTATGCATGCAGGGTTTTTTTAATTTTTTTAACTCATTTACTGCCATCTCCTGGTACTCACAAGGTAATAGTATTTATGCTACTTAACAGCAGCTAGTACTCCTGTTCAGTACTACTGAAATGCTGAAATGCCACAAACCTCTCAGAAATATTTTTTAAATATTGCTGTACTATTTACGTTGCTGTCTTTTATTCTGGAAATACTGAATATTGTTCCTTGGGCACAAACTGGTAAAAGGTTCATGGAGCTTACCTTTGTCTGGAAGCAGCAATAAAGTTGTGTTAGGTATGGGTGTTTCCGTGCTAATGCCAGAATTCTCTTTTCTGTCATTGTACAGTCTACATCGTCATCTTGAAGTATGACATCTTTCTTCAACACTTTCACTGCATATACTTCATCTTTTCCTTTTAGCTCAGCTAACATTACCTAAAACAAACAGAAATTCTGTTTGCATACGAACAACAGATACCATAAATGCAGGGTTGCATATGCATTTGACTGCACTGGAAATATAAAGACAGTTATATACTTGCCTGAATGAAGTTGAATATTTATAAAACTAAAAGTAATGTAATTTTAGAAAACTATACCTCTGGTATTCTTTAAATTTGAAACAGACAGTATCTATTTTGTTTGTTAGTTAAGAATGCAGAAGATAAGAAGTTTTTATCCCCTCATTCAAATATTGTAATGAGTGCCTACTAGTGAGATCTCAAAAACTAAAAAAGGAAGCAAGTTGATATAGAACAGAAATTTATTTCCCACTTTTATCTCCCACTTTTGGTAGTGAAATTTGTTTATAATGAACTTAGTATACAATCCCATGTACCATTCAAGCTGCTTTAAAGTTGTTGATTTTAACTACTGCTATTGTTTAAGGTTCAAGTCCTATACTCTGTTTAAGGTCAGTTCTGGCTTGGAGCCAGGGTAACCTTCAGAGAAAGGATTAGAAAACAGGGAGACAAAAGAACTCCTTCAGCCCTGCTCCCCTGCATCTGCAGTTCCCATGTATCAAGGAAGGAAGAGTGTACTTGTGAAACAGATTCACATTTCAGTCTTCCCCTTTGATTCCACAGTGCACAGCACTGTGAAAAGAAAATCTGTAAGCCCTGTAAATAGAGCAATGCCCCTTCCACCATCATCAATTTCCTACTGTGGGAAGGTATCTGGTGAGTTGCATCTTTGCTGCATACGTGGTATTTCTGACAGCTGTCTAAGCCTCTTGCACTCGTTGTATCTGAGTGGAAATGCTTGAGTTCTGCTTCCTCCAGCACTGAACACACCCACTGAGGAAAAATAAGCACACAAACTGTTCTCTGAAATAAGTAAACTTGAACTGGGTATTATCTAGAAAGGGAATGAACTCAGAACTCCACGGCATTATTCCTGGGCTGATTTTTCCTGCTTGACTACAACTAATTATCTTGTTGAACAGTATGTACGTAACTGTATGTATATCTTCATTACCAATATCCTGAAATAGTGAAACATCGACATTTTGTTTCAAAAGGCTTGACCATAGTTAAGGAAGAGAGCTAAAGCACAGAAAATGCCAGCTGATCAGGAGGCTGATGTTCCTGATCTGTGGGGTAAAAGCCACTTTTACCCAATGGGTAAAATTAGGAAACCGCTAGGGTGGAAGCACTTTCTGAATGCCATTATGAATACTTTCAAAGGAGTACAGTAAAAAAAGCCGGCACTTGAGTTTAAAAAAAAAAAAAAAAAAAAAGCTGCCCACCTTGCCAAAGCTGCCTTTTCCTAATACTTTGATGAAGTTGAACTCTTCAAGGCCTATTCGCTTGTTCTGGGCCTGCTTGACCTCCCCATTTTCACCATTCTCCCCAGTTTTGTTAAGCTGGTTGTCTGTTGACGTTGTAGCTGTTGCTCTGTGTTCCTCTCCCCGATTGTCAAATGATAATGCTTTCCTAATGTTGTTTTCCAGCTCTTTGATTTCTGTGTAAAAGTGAGAAAAAAGTGCTCGTTTTAATCAACCATCAGAAAAACAGCCTATGTTAGTCTGTACCAGTTTTAGGAAGGGACATACATCATCCTTGAATGCTGTATAGAGCATTCTGTGGTTAAGAATACATATTTAGCAAAGTGCTTCTCCACCTTACAGTAATCAGCCAAAACCCTGCTCTAACAGGAAGGGTGGCATTTTAAAATGAACCTTAGAGAATGACACGTCCAAAACTTGAAAGATAAGCCAGAATAGTAGTCAGATAGTTGTTTTTAGTGATTTTTGGGTGTTCCTGTACACAGAGAAGTATTTTGTTTTGAATACCCCTATCTTCCTGCAGCACTTACTCATCTTCCTGCTTAAGTATTTTAGGGTTGTATCTTCAAAAGTTCAAAGGATAGTTGGGCGTCCCAGTCCTTGAAGTCAACGTGAATGGAGCATCTTACGCAGCTCCAGCTGTTATCAGACACCTGCCAATAAGGTATTTGACTACTTCCTAGAGCCACTTCAAGCAGCAATTGTGCAGATCTGCTAAATGGTTCTGAAGGTTTCTCAGTGTTAAACACAGTGAGTCCTGGTGACTAACAGACCTCAGCTCTGCCTCAAGCTCTTGCATAGTACTTCTGCCTGATGGCCTTGGAAGCAACAACTTTACTGGACAGCTAAAAAAGTGAAATTTAAGAAAGAATTTAGACAATTCTTTGTTCTTATTTTAAGCAAAAGATCAGATATTTAAAAAATATTCAACCAAAATACTGTCTGCGAAACCAAAAGGTTGACAAATTCAAATTAGTGCTGGACTCAGAGTTTTACAGTACTTATTACCATGGAGCTTGGGAAGTGTCTTTCCTGAAAATAAGGCTGAGAAATTTCTCAACTGTAAACAAATTTCAAAAAATTTGACACAAATGTATCCATCTTCCTACATCTTGGTGTGAAGATTTTTCACTCATCAGTTTAGACACGTGATGGTACATAAGATACCTCAAAGAATTTGATTTTTAAAAACAACAATCAGGTCAGATTCAAAAAGTGCTGCTGATATACATGTTCTGTCAATCAGGCTGTTCAGCTTAATGAAATCAGGTCATATCAGTGAAGATTAAAATATTTATCTCCAAATCTATGCATGAAAAAAATCACTGAAAAGAAACAGTTTTACAAAGCCTCTGGAGACCACACAGACACACTAGCATAGCTTAACCGGACAGAATTTTTTATTACTGCAAATGTTCAACGTGGAATTGCACAGAGGCAATTTTGTCTCAAAAACTTATTAACAGATACAGGCTTTTCAGATAAATAAAGGCGCTCTCAGGTTCTGTGGTACTATTTAAAAAGTTCTCACTCTTACAATACAATATATAACCTCCTTACATTAAGGTATTTGGTTAGGCAAGGACTCATCTAGTAAACAATATTTTAAGATGAATGTTTTATAATTTTCCCTTTAAAAGCCACTTAATTTCACAGATTTAAACAAAATGAGAAGCAGGCCTTTTAAAAAAGTTCTTGCAGTTCCTAACATTAAATGCTTCATTTTCTGGTGGTAACTACTTTGTTGATTTGGTTCTAAGAGGCTGGGGCCGATAGCTTTTTTACTCCTCATAAAGAAGGAAAATATGTAACAATAGATATCAGTTAGGACATAAAAAGAGATGTTTGACCTTGATCACATGGAGAAGTTGGTGCTGACTTTGACCTATCTTCTTCTGATGATGCGCTTCCAGGAACTGGTTGTTGACTCTCTGCACCTGCAATTAGCTAAGAACAATTCCAAAAGGGGTACTCAGCTATGAGATCCTCCCATGCCAAGAGGAAATTTAATTTAACAACATTAATTCACAAGTAGAAGTATGAAGGAAAGTGAATATTTTCTACCCCTACAGATTCTCACTGGCAGGACCTCAACCATACACTAGATGCCATCACATCAAATGGAGACCATAATATAAAAAGAGAAATAACAAGCAATTTAAAGAAAAATAGGTTCTTAGGATGGAATAAATGTAATAAGCATACCCAGCGAGTGGGAAAGTTTTGAATAACCACTATGAGTTTGTGTAGAAATCTATCCGGTAAATACATTTAACTACAACAAGTATTAGCAAGCACTGCAAACTAGCTCATGCAGTAATGACGTGCCATCTTTTCCCAGGAGTCACAGATCCATTAATTTATTCCTGAGTTTTCTATGTTTCTGTAACATTTTAAAACAGTGTACATGGCATCCAAGTGTGCAATAATCAGGAAAATGAACAAAACCAAATGTCAATGTTTTAAGAAATTATGGTAAAAATTGCCTATTTCTATAAGTGAGAGCAATGGGTCTGTTGTCACAATCATGCGAATAGAGATAGAAAGTGTGGCCAAATTCTGATCCAGGATACGTATTATCAATCCAGAATAACTCCATCAGCTTTGGATGTACTTGGGGTGACCTATGCCTTTTTTTCTAGAACAGTCTAGTCCTTCATATAATAGTGATGATAACCCTGGAACCGTCATCTAGCAAACAGCTCCTCTTCATGAGAATCAGTCCATTGCTCATTTATCAGCATTTATAATGTTATGGAGTAGTGCTGTGTCTCAATCAATCAATTATCCAACGCCAATTCTGAGCCAAAGAGACATTTATGTTTTTATGAACTGCTGCATCAGACACTGACTCTCTGTCTAATCTCCTTTCTCAAAATTAAAAAGCAGAAGTCCTTCCAGACTCTCTACAGACCCCAGGTTTGCAAAATTGTAGCAGGTCAAAATAAATTTCATATCGAAATTCAGAATAGATGACTTGCACTCATAAATCAAAAGCCAAAGTCTTAGTTCTGTACTGACTTAAAAAAAAATTCTTGTGCAAGTCAAGTGAGTGGGATTGAATCCCAACTAGTAAAGTTACAATACAGCCATACTTATATCAAATTTTTTATGTGATATGATGTAGTGAAACTACCTTTTTCCTCCTCTGCCCACTATTAGTGATCTTATCTGGAGTGACTCCAAGATCTGCAAGAACTTTAGCTATGCCTCTAGCATCTACTCCACAGTTTGGTGCCACATTCGTTTCACAGCGTCGATGTACATTCATCTTGCAAACTGCAATGAAATGTAAAGTAATAGAGTAAATTAAATACTACCTTGGCATGCATTTATCTTACTTAAACCATATCTTATTGGACCTACCAGTAACTTTTTCAAATAAATATAATTTCAGTAGAAAAATACTTAGCTGGATTTCCAGTGATACTTCAATGGTAATATAAAATTATCAACTTGATTATCATTCTTCTGCTATGATAATGCAGCACAGTGTTTTCACACAGTACCCAGAAGAGACACAGGAGCAAATGAAAATACCTAATGAACCTATACATCTTAAATAGAATTTGAATTAGAAGAAAAGCCCTTCAGAGCTTGGATTTTAGCAGTCCACTTCTGCTCTCATACTGAGCACAACTTCAGTTCATCATGTATTATTGCTTCTTACCCTATTTTACTCAAGTAGATTAACTACTAATGTAGGCAGGCATAAAACCAACAGTGTTTCAAGTTTTAATAAGTCTTTGGCACTGTTAGACACTCTTTCTTTAGGTGGCAATCCATTTACTAAGCTCTTTCTCTTAAATACCATCTTCTTAAGTAGCATACTAGTAAGTGGGGAAAAAAGGTTACATTGCTTCCAGGTTATGGGTTAGGCAGGAGAAGAACAAAGCTCCATTAAAAATAGCATAGTGTGGATTTGTTAGGCGTCAATGACATTTTATCTTAGACTTCATTGCCCTCTTGTGGAAAAAGGCATAAAGCAAGCAAAACTGCAAGTGCAATTAAATACTAGGTTAACATTCAATTGAACAAATTCCTCACTTCATTACTTTCTAGAGAAAAAAAATAATCAGAAAGTATGTATTTATAAAGCTGCATTTCACTATATTGTTCATCAATTATGCTTTCACTGTATAAGCCCTAAAGAAACAAATCATATTTATCTCAGACTATACACAGGTACTGTATCTGCAGCAGTACCCATGCACTTCATAAAGCAGGTGCCTTTCCTTTTCAAGTATGTTTCAGTTCGCAAGAAGAGCAAAAAGAAATTGCTACACATGGTATTTTCAGTGACAAAAGCTCAGTGGCAAGTAAAATGTTTGACCTAGGATACATAACAGTGGACACTGAGGAACTGAACTGCTTGAAATAAAGTAAGCAGGAAAATTCTGTGAAGTCCAACTTCATCAACATATCTTTTACAAAGAAGCACAGGAATAAGCAGTGAAAAAAAAAGAATAATAATAAACCTCTGGAATACACTTTTCATGGCGTTAATAACCACACTGGGCAAGCAAGTACAACTCTGAAGAAGGGAACATTGTTCAGCACTCGTTAAGAGAGAAAACTAAGCATGGAGAAAATTATGTTTACAGCTCAGGTGAGTTCCAGATTTCATGCAGAAAATACTGCATTTTTAATAGGCACTAATTTTATGAACATGGAGAAGGCAACATAGGCTTTCTGAACTATTGTTTCTATGCAGCTGCTACACAGTAAATGCATACATATGAGAAATAACATTATTTTCTACATTTAAGAGCAAATGAACCACTATGGTAGTTGAGAGAGAATATGAAAGTGAACCAATATATTCACAGATTAAGTGGAGAGATACTATAGCTCTGATTAAAAAATCAGAGAGAAAAAAAATCAGGTTTAATTGAAAAATCTTCCCTGAACATATCTCCACCATAATTAAGACAGCATTTGAACAAAATCTTCAATAGTAGTAAAGTAAACAGTATTTAGAGTCTAACATTTTATCACTGCTCGTTAGCTAGAATCACAAGGGAAGGCTTGAATTTCAGAATGCTCTCACTGTGTACCGCTTTGCCATGAAATAAATTTCTTCTTTCCCTTGCTGCTCAGCAATTTGTGACATGAAACATTAGGTCTGACCTTCACCTTTAGTTATGTCTGACCTTAAATACTGAAAAGGATATATTTCATAAATTATGTGTTTATACATACATGTGTGACACCACATTTCTGCAGTTGCGAAGTGTACATAACATGATTTTGGTATTTATGAAGATGGACCTACCCATTCATAAAGGTGTAACAAAATGAAAATGCTTATAATTTCATTAGGTACTACTTTCTAAGAATATTACAATCTTCATGACATAATTCCCATCAACCCACTAACTGAAGTATTTAATTCACAATTTCTAAAATATTGCTTTCCTTTGCAAGTGTTTGTACTGTTTTCTCCCCCATTTAGAATATACAAATCTGCTTGAAACAAGGTGATATGGAACCAGCCATTTCTATTAGTCAGCTAAAACAACATGAATGCACCTTCCAGCAGTAACTTCATATACAGTTACTGTATATACACAGTCCTTAAGCCGCAGAAAATAATGAATCCTTTATTTTCTGGAATAGAGGTGCTAGGCAGACCATCACAAAGGACGATTTAGCTAGATATCAGAATACCTCATCTTCTGGATACGGACACACAGGACTGGTTCTGCCTAGCCTAACCAATACATAATAGTAATTTTTGAACATGGTATTAAAGGGAAAAGTAGCTGGAATAATGATGTTTAAAAAGTTTAACAACCATCACCACAAACCTGAAAACACAAAAGGCATATAAGCTGAAGGGATGTAAATTCTCATGCTCCTAATTTTCTGTCAACTTCTAATTTCCTATGTGGCAATAAACCTACATAGCAGTGAGTCCAAAATGTGTTTCTGCACCTCTGTCCTCTGCATCTGTTATTGACTGGTGTTGCAGACAGGGTAAAGGACCATTTTCTAACCTTGATGGCAATCCCTCCAGCAGTCTGCTATTTACTTTCTATTCATATCTGCACATGCTGAAAAAGACAGAATAACTTGAACTCTTTCCAAGTTTACAAGTCACTCACAAAGAAAAAAGCTCTGAAGTGGTAATCCTTACCTTTGCATTGTAAACCTTGTCTCAAAAGACCCCAGAGCAATGAACCACAGTGGTCACAGAAGGTGGGCACTTTGTAATTGTGAATGCTGAACTTGTGAGGCATGTTGACACTGAAACGCTGGGATCCCACTTGCTGAAAAAGGAGAGCACAGCATATTTCATTCTAAGTAATTTCTTTATAATCAGTGTATGCCAAGGCCCTGTTATGTTTTGAAACCACGCAGAATTCAAACAAGATGAAATATGTCTGTGCTTGGATGATCTTTGCATTAGATATACTCTAGAGTTCGTCTCACTACTTTATTTGGGGAAAAGAGGGGAAGGGCTGCTGTTGTTCAAGAGATAAAAACTGAAGTCTACTTCCTAGTACTTCTGGGAACAACAAATATATTACTATCAGGAAAGATCTCCTAATGTGGAAGGCAAGGAAGTCACTCCCAATTGTTTCAGGAGTAGGAGGCCAAACTAATAGATTACTAAGAAAGAGAAATACATCACATCCCCTTTACCTTTTCATATCCCACTCTTCGTTAGATTATGAAAATGACAATGATAAATTGTTGCGTTCAGGGATTCCAAGGTTCAATTAATTGCTAATTCAAGGATGTCATTGATAAGTTTTTATAGTGGCCACTGCATAGCAGGAGATTTATTTCAATGTTTTTCCTTCCCTTTCCTATTACCGCTGGCTTTTCTCCAGTGATCTAGTACCCCTTCTCTAAACAATGAGAGCATAATATCAGCAAAGCATGCAAGCCTCCACCAGTCTGTAGCCTGGAAATATAAATCCATGCAAGAGTTTGTATCTTCCAGCAAGTACTATGCAAAAACAGCACTAGCCAAACACAGTCCTTTATCACAATCCTATACACAGTCCTTTATCACAATCCTATGCATGCGATCAAGTTTCAGATGTAAAATACTGCTTGTGAACCAGATATTAAAGAATGCTTCCAGTATGAAAAATGGTAGTGAATTGCACAGGAATAATGAGATCAGTTAGCATCTCAGTCAAATTCATATCAAAGTTCGAAGAGCACCTTAAAACCATCGTTACATACAACTCTGATTTGTAATGTAAAACTAGGCTTTTTCAAGCATATAAATGTAGGTTTTTAACAAACAAAACTAAGAAATGTACTTTTTCTGTGTGGCTAAGGAACTGGGATCACCCACAGACTACCTCACCTAAACCTATGGTGAAAGACAGTAAGCCCTTGGTGTTGCACAAAACAGAACATGACAGTAAGCATTCATTAGCTCTTCTGTTAAAACACAAACAAAAAACTTTTGTATAAGATAAAGCATTCACTGGTTACAGTTGAGGGCTACAACTATTTAGAAAACAATAAACCCCATCCCCCTCCCCAGCTGTCCCCTATCAACCCAGCCATAAAAGGATACCCCAAAGCTGAGGAGTTTAAGGGAGCTGAATGCTACCAGCAGTCACATCACTCTCTGTGTATGACTGTCCACAGAAATTAACATTAATTTCCTAATCAAGCCTAAAAGGGCCATCTCGGCTGAGAGAAACCTTAAACCCAAGTGAAAGGATTGCTTTGTTTTCTCTTCTGATCCAGAGCTGAATGTGCTGTTGGCAGATATATCTACCTCTCTGAAAGTATGGTTCTGAAGGCAGCTGATTTCATTTTCAGGTGATGTCTTCATTTATTTAAACATGTGATACATAAAGCACATATTGTGTTAATTCTGTTAATATACAAAAAGCTTGCTAGAGGTAGGGAGTAATTGCGCTGGAAAACCTGTTAACTATGCAATACCTTGTGTTATCACTAGTATCTTGTACAATAACCATGGGCCTTCTTCAACACAAAGATGGTTTTTGTTATAAATTTTGACAGTTTGGATGCGGTCTTTGTTGAAGTGAGGCTTTGCAAGCAAATTCTGGGCAGTCTTTTATGTTGATGCAAGACACCCAAGCATGCCTATCCTATCAGCTGGTAATGACTCAGTCACAAAAAATGCAGTTAAGGGATAAAGGGTTCCAGTCTGCTTCGTTTGAATTAAAATGACAAAACTTGTATTAACTCAGAAATAGACAATGTTAAAAATGAAAAGGAGTAGAAAGAGCTCACTGAGACTTTAAGCATTCAGATGTTATAAAAAGTTTACTAATTAGAAATAAATTGCTGTATAATAATTCCCATGTAAATGAAACTGTTATGGTAATCTCTCATTCCAAAGTAAATGCTATATCAAAAGACGACCAGAAGGGCACAAAAAAGTCTGTAACATTTATTGATTAAACAGAGGAGATGACACTACTTTGAACAGATGAAAGAGAGTTTTATCTAGAAAATTTATTTTATAAACATTTACCTCATCGTGAGTTTCCTGTTTTTTTAAGCCAGCACACTTCGTTATTATAAGTTCATGGCATCTCTTGTGGACTACACAAGTGCAAACTATAAACAAAAAACAGATAAAAGAATGAGTTTCCATGAAGATTGATTTGAAAGCAAAAGACTGATGTCAGAAGACTAGAAATGCTGGGACTTGAAAGGCTGCAAGTGACTGGTGACTTGGGGAGTCCTATGAAGTAAGTCTGGCTTAGAAAGGCAGAAGATAGTGGACTTTCAAGAGACCAATGAATCTTAACAGAACTAAAGCATATCTGCCAAAATCTCAGTACGTAAAACTACAAATTATCTTCTGAAGTATTAATGACAATTTTTCTCAATTTTTACATATTTCATTTCTTTATCTGATAAAGTCCACAATCTCCACTTTATATGAGACACAATGGCAAAACCAATTTCTGTCTGAAGAGCTTCCAGAGGAAAAGACATATAAAGATAACTCATTGTAAAAGTCAAAAAACAGAAAAAACAAAGTCGAACATTCTTTCTGTAGCACATAATAAGTTGATAACCGCAAAAGGTTTCAGGAGGCAAAAATGCTTTATCAATATTCATACTGATTACTTAATCAATGAATAACATCTGCAGATATGACAGATAAGATTAAAAATTACAAGGTCTATCATACTGTAGGATTCAAGGTCATTAAGTGAAGAAAAAACCTTCAGAGTGAAATAATGAATTTCATTTTCTTCTAGCTTTGATCATTGTTGTAAGAAAAAAAAACCATCAGAACTCATGGAACCTCTGCTGTATGTTAATACAGTAATTCTTATTATAGCATGTAAAACCATTATTTGTGTTTATTTATTTACAATGAGATTTCATCAAGTCTTTTGTAACTGAAAAATCATCACTAACTTGATTATTTCTACTTGTCAAATGAGAATTAAACAGAAAAACACCATGCCGAGAGATGACTGCATAAAAAATTAAGAGTACAAGAAATTGAGCTAAAAAATGGGAGTTGAAAATGAAGCACTTCCGCAGTCTTTGCTATAATGATGACGTCTATAATTATCTATTTAATTACAGTCTTTGCAATTACCTGGCATTTTAAAACAAAGAATCTTAAGCAGAATAAAGAATTCACAATTTTAAAATGCAAGAAGTGAAAAATGAAGAAGCCAACATCCACAGATACGGCCCTCTAGTTGGATGTGCATCAAGAGATACCTAGGACCTACTGTTCAGTAATGTTAATTGTGCCCCTACCTCATAAATGATGCCTAATAGCAACAGTTTTGAAAAATCATACTGTGACTTGCTGTAAAGATTGTATCTTTGGTGAGACAAACTTATTCTGATCATTTTGTGCTAAATTCTTGGCACTGTACATATACAATGACTGATGAAAATACCTTATTATTTAAATATTATAACATAATACATATATTCAAACTGTCTCCACGTAGATTTTCTCTTACCTTGACATTGGTATCCCTGCTTTCCTATTACACCCCTGAAAATAAAACAGTGTTTTAGCAAATGAAGAATACAAATATTTTTAAAAATGAAAAACATTTTTTCCTCTCCTTACTGGACATGCACAAGTTTAAAAAAATAGCCTCTTATAACCAATAATCTGATAACTGCATGCCTAGACTGAGATCAGTTCAAAGTAGGAACCACATTTCAGCTGCTAAGAGGTAACAGGTAGGATGATAGGCCATGAAGAAAATCAGAAGTAAAGACACACTTACTATAATAAAATAGGCAAAGCCAAAGGGTACATAGAGATGGAAGCCACAAGCTGGTAAAATAAGTCATCAAGCAGGCCTCTAAATAGACAGAAGATTGCATTTGCCAATATTGTTGCTTGAAATCATCTTAGCTAAAAAAAGAAAGGCTAACCTATATTCTTTAGAGTAATGTAGCTGAGTTCATAGACAATTCACATAATTTCACATTAAGAAAGACTGATTCACTACACACTCTTAAGAAATATTAAGTATGGATCACTCACATCAGATCTTATGTGTATTAATGTGCAAAACAGTATCTCTAGGTAACTTTGGAAAACATCGATAGAGTTGCTGAAAAATAACTGAAAACTGAATGTCTCCACCAATTCTCCCTATGTGACAATTAAGATTACTCAAAACTAATGTAAATAATTTCTAAAAGGGAGTTCTTGACATATGTTGTAATAATAAAGACCCTGTACACTGAGCACCCAAAACCCTGGATCACTAGAAGTCTAGTATTCCCATATTCCATTAACTTCAGCAGGATATATGGAGCTTGGCACTTCCTAGGAGGAAGATGGTGATACTTAGGCCCCTAAAGAAGAATTCAGTCCTCTTGGCAAACATAAAGATCTAATATTAGGTCTAAATCTACATTTAGACACTTACAGAACACTAGACTGGCTGTCTACCTAGAATTTATCGTGTGTACTAGACAGGAGGAGATTGAACTTTGTAGCTCAGAGGAGAAAAAACCAAAAATACAACAAATTCTAATATTTGTGACGGAAGTTTAACAGTTTTCTATTACCATCTGCAAAACTGGTGACAGCTTAATATTAAAATGAAGAGGAAAAAACTACTACTCTTTATACCCATTTATACTCCAGCAAAACAGGAGGGTATGTTAGCTCCTCAGCTCAAAGTTGCAAAGAAAGCAAAGTCAAAGTTGCTTCATACCATATAAAATCTCTGCAGTGTGAACAATATGTTGGTTGTCTAAGATAGGTGGCCATGAACTTGTGTCCATTAACCTGATGTACTCTGCGTCGCACAGCACCCTGCCGCTTTCTGGGGCGCATACGTTCCCGGAACACACGTTCTTCATTGTCTTTGGGTGCTGAAACAGAGGGAAAAAAAATAAGCATGGCTGTATCAGACACAAACATGGGAAAACTCAAATGCAATACATAAGTAGATATTTCCAAAAATAAAAATAATCGTCTCCAACTAGCAGTGCAAGATAACTTCCCTAAGTTGTGGGTCACTTTTTTCATTTTTAGCATGAGTTACTAAAGGACAAGGGTTTTCACTGCCTAGTACAGGAACTTCTATTTGTTCTAAAACTTTATCTGTAAATTCATACTAAGCTGGGAATAAGTCTTCTGTGCTTTATCACTATCAAGCACACTGACAACCTCTTTAACAGTAATTACACAGTTAGATTCTCCAAACAGCTCAGAGTTGCACTTCATTTGATCTTCTGGGAGGGGGGGGGGAATCCACCCTGGTCCCCATGCACTCAGAAGGTGCTGACACAAGTGCAAGAAAGCTGAGTACAAATACATATTATCAGGAAGAACAAAAATTCCATCCAGAACTGATTACTTTGTAGAATTCCTGATTAAGAGCTGAGCTTCAGGCTCTTAGAATCCACTTTGATACTAACAGACTTTCAGCAAAATGTTCAAGGGAAGGAAGTTGTTCCTCTTAAGCAATTCCTGTTCAATTGTATATGAGATTTAATGGTAGAGGAAGTAAAAAATGAAGTTGATATATCTCAGAATGAAAACTTCTGGAAAAAATCCTCCAGAGTGCATTGGGTCTTTTTTCCCAAGGCTTTATTTTAAAAAGTATCAGTAACAACTCCATAGTATTCTTTATGCAGTAAGCAAAAGCTGAGGATGAATTAGCAGTGAAGAATAGTACATAGTTGTTAATGAAGGACAGATTTTACAAGCGTTCCTTGAGCCACTTTTGTCTCTGCAAAATAGAATATCAGATTTGGGGGGAACCACATTCAGTCATCCATTGCCAACTGAACCTATGCACTCACTACTTCAGTACAGGTAACACTTTGAAATGTATTTAATACTTGTCATTCTTTGAATTTCAGCTACCCTGAATCATTACCATGGCCTAAAGATGTCAACTTTCGTCTGTTGCAAGCTTTTCTGTACATGAATGAGTTCTCCAAGCAACAGTACAGTATTTAACAACAACACAAAGAAAATTAAAAGTCTAAGAACAACTCAAATCTATAATAGTCTCAAATTCTTTTACAAACACTGAAATAAACCCTCTTTTTGAGGGTTGTTGTCGTGGTTTAACCCCAGCCAGCAACTAAGCACCACGCAGCCGCTCACTCACTCCCCCCCATCCAGTGGGATGGGGGAGAAAATCAGGAAAAGAAGTAAAACTCCTGGGTTGAGATAAGAACGGTTTAATAGAACAGAAAAGAAGAAACTAATAATGATAATGATAACACTAATAAAATGCCAACAGTAGTAATAAAAGGATTGAAATGTACAAATGATGCGCAGGGCAATTGCTCACCACCCGCCGACCGACACCCAGCCAGTCCCCAAGCGACGATTCCCCGCCCCCACTTCCCAGTTCCTATACTAGATGGGACGTGCCATGGTATGGAATACACCGTTGGCCAGTTTGGGTCAAGTGCCCTGGCTGTGTCCTGTGCCAACTTCTTGTGCCCCTCCAGCGTTCTTGCTGGCTGGGCTTGAGAAGCTGAAAAATCCTTGACTTTAGTCTAAACACTACTGAGCAATAACTGAAAACATCAGTGTTATCAACATTCTTCACATACTGAACTCAAAACATAGCACTGTACCAGCTACTAGGGAAGACAGTTAACTCTATCCCAGCTGAAACCAGGACAGTAGTAAATTTATAAAGTATTGATTTGGAATTCCTAGAAAATGGTCTTAAATTAAGCCAATGGATAGATATCCTGGGAAAATACAGAGTACAGATCCGTGAATTGAGATCAACTTCCTTCAGTGCACAGCAAGGGCTAAAAACCATGATACCAGAAAATTCATTTATGCACTAAAAAGCCTAAGCTCCTTACACATTAATGTCTTACAAAAAAATTCATACTCAGAGTGGTTTTTCACCCTAAGAACACACATCTGTGGGATGGCCTGAATATCATTACTTTTCTATTCTAAGCGAGCTCTCAGTAAATAAACATTGACTTATATGCAAAGCTACCCCTTTTATTTATGCCAAAGAACAATCAAAGAGCAATGGCTCTGCGTCCCCCTTCAAGAAAGAGATAAGTACCACCACATAGTCATCAATTATGTTTATTTTTATGTTGTCAGTTATGTTTACTTTTATGCATTAAGCAAAACTCTGATGTCTAATAAATACCACAGCTGCTTGAGAGAAAGACTGTCTTCCACAGAGAATACGTAACAAGAAGTTGGAAATCCTACCAAAGACTCCTATTTCCAGCTTCTGAATGATTTATTGTCCTTACATAGCTATTGGAAACCTTTTAAAAGTTATTATTATAGGAAATAATTCTCTATTAACATGGAACTGTTCTTTTGGTTATCAACCAGATTGTAGAATTTGCTAAAGTATGCAGTCTGGATGTGAGAAAGTTAAAATCCCACTCTCCTGGAAAGGGTTCCCAAAAAGTTATCTGCTTATATGAAGTGAACAAGATGTTCTGACAGTGCACAGTTCACACTTGATATGATAATCAGTCTACAATACTGCTTTTCTCCTTTTTTCATCTTAAGTGTAATTCTTCACAGATAAAGCACCTGTAATTTTACAGAGCAGATAAAAATCCTCTTCTTGTTTTGGCTAGATAAATACAGTATCATGACCCTTCTTTTTTTTTTTTTTTACCAACCAAGTGGCAGCCTGCCTGTACATCCACTCCAAACATAGACCCAAACAGTTGTAAATCTTCCTGGAGATTTTCCCTTTCGTTCCAACAGTCAGACTTGCCACAATGTCTGCTCCAGAGCGTCTTCTTGACCACCACCTGTTCCTCTTCTTTCAAGTGCATTAAGGAGAAAGGCTTTCCAGGCCAGGACTGTGGACTGGCAGTCACCCCACACAGCTTAACATTCCTCATCCAATATTTCATTTCTCCTATCGTTTGTTAAGCGTGGGTAGCGTATTGCCATACATCACAAAGCCCTTTACTAGAGCTGCTCAGGCTAAAAAAAGAGGGTACAGCTGTGCTGTAGGCTAGCATTCTGCAGAAATACCTAAGCTGCAGCCAGCAAGCCCAGCGTGGTGACAGAGGTAGCACAGTTATAGAAATAAGGAGCTCTGCATGACCTAATTTACCTTGCTTCTCCTGCTGAAGGCCACACTACCATGGCTGGTGGCTCTGTTCACAGACTTAAGGTAGTCAAGGAGCTCTACTGTGCATGCCAGTCACATCAAATACAGTGGCACATCACAGAAAGATGAACTCAGATTATAAGTACTACAAGTATTTAAAGATTCACTAGTTTACAGTACTTGGACAGAAAATCTGCTTCCTTGTGTTAACTTTTTTCAGGCTTTCAGTGGAAGAGGACTTTGGAAAAAGAATGGAAGAAATAGGGCTGCAATAGGAAAAGAAGCAAGTCAGAAGAAATCCAAGACATAGGCTGGATGGACCGAGCTATCATCACTGGAAACTGGATGCCCTTGGTGAGGGGTGACATTGCTGGACCATAATTCTCACCGTTGCGTGGTGCCACAAGGATGCGGCAGGACAGATGAGGGACTGAGCCCAGAAGGGTGTGGAATGTGCAGAGTTTTCTCAAGGTAGAGGAAGACTCTAAGGTACTGAGAGATCAAAAAGCTGATTTCAACAGCTCTGCTCTGGATGGACCAAAGGGAACCAGAGCTCCCGAGGAGGATGCGGCCGCAGGCACGAGGGCTGCCTCTGCCCGCTCGGCCGAGGTCACCGACTCACCGACTCCATGCCAACTGCAGCTGAACTGCACCCAACGCACTGTGCAGGGGCCACCCAACCTGCAGCCCTGAGCCAAGGGCCTCAAGAGAAGAAGCTCGAGGTCCTGCCTGCCAGAGCCAGCTTCCAGCCTCCGGCTCGCCATCGGCGGCGTTTGCTCCTATTGACCACGCAGGGCAGGGATATTTGCAGGTTGCCTAATTGCTAGGTAAGTAGCCTTTCCTTTCCCCTTCCCTTTCTTTCCAGTGTCCGCCCTTGCTCCTTTGTGTAGGAACAGAGGAAACGGTAACAATAACTATGAGAGGCACTTCCAGAAAAGTAAATGGCCTTTCAGACCTGGCTTGAAACAACTCTGTGACAGCCTTACGAAGATCACTAAAGACATCAGCCATTTACTGGCAACTTCCATAATCCCCTTGAAGAGCTAATAGACAAAGCAGGCTGGAACCTACCACCACCAGCACAGCAGCAGAAAGGGCAGCTGCCTGCAGGCGAAATGCGCTCTAAAAGGGATTTGGAGTTTTAGCATTTTTCCTGACACTTTTCCTTTTATACTGAGAGGTAAATTTGAGAGCTCACGAGAGCACCAAAGTTCTGGGCTCCCTTAAATTCTTACTTTTTAAAGTCTCACTAATCGGGAAAATGAGTTAGGGAAAAAAATAACTTTTAAGATGTAATTTAAAAGATAAAATAAAAAAATTCCAGCATCTATTCATCTCTGGTGTATAGGCTTCCCATTTCAAAAAAAGACGAAGCCTTCTGTTTGGGAAGGAAGTCAGATGAGAATCATGCCACGGTGCATGATGTAGCTCAGAAAGGTCAGGAGACAAGGGGATATCTCAAAGATGTATTGAAAGAAGAACCAGCTGTAAATGTATTTTAACAAATCTTTCAAAGAATAGAAACATTGTTATGCTAAAGGAGGATGGTGAGGAGAAATCAAATCCATCTGAAAAATAGCAATAACAACACATCACTTCTAAAATAAGCTTCGAAGAACGAAATAGTAATTCTGCACCTGTGAGTCATGACTATTTGCATCGCTCATTTTAATAAGTAAAGAGCTGTGTTAAAATGTTAAAACGTTATTAAATACTGAAACTAACTATTGCATATAACACATAAGAAGCTTCCCAACTTTACCAATTAGCACCAAGGCTTAAGCTTTAAAT